ATCAGATACAGAACGCATGATCCACGAATGTACAAGCATATTGCAACGAGTCCAAGCTCGAAAGGTTGGATCGAAAGAATCAGTAGGAATTTGAATCGTGCCATCCACAAAATCAAATTTCATCTTTCCACCGAGTGCGCGACGCATCGATCTTGCCCAGCTATGGTAGTTAGAACCATTGAGAACAGGGGTAATGGAGATCGAAGAAGGGCCATCACTAGGATGCACATAATATGGGCTGGTAGGATCAAGAATTGGATCGAGAGAAGATGAAGCGGAAGCAGTATTACGTGGAGGAGCCATGGATGTACAAGCTCAATGATACCATGTTAAAGTTATTTCCATGGATGTCATAGATGAATCTTTGAAGAAGAAGAAGAGAGTGTAACAGAAATGTAACAGAAAAGTATAACAGAAAAGGAATAGGAAAAGATAAGGTTGATCACAAAATTGGATTCTATTATTTCATTTTGGATAAGAATATAAGTGGTAATACAATGGATATATATACACTATTAGATCTAATAACAGCCCTTAGATCTAATTAAACTAAAACCACTAATACTTCAACACTACTGTCACTAGGTCGATTGGAAATTAACATGAGCTTCAAGTGTTGGAATGTATTTCCCTTCAAAATATCCCTTGCATTTCTAAATGCTTTTGCATGGACATTGTTCTCGTCCAACACATGTTTCAGAATTATGACAATTTCCTTTTCTATTTTTTTATTGTCCCTGCATTTGGCATTCAAAAAATGAAATTAGCAGAATATATAGTATATGGATTAAATTTCTGAATATCACACAAGTTGCATACAACAAGATAGTCCAAATTTTACCTGAAACATTCTATTATGTTTTCAACCTCATTATCAGTGTCAAATATATAAAGTTGAGCCTATTGAGGAGGATTCCCAACTTTTGGAAGCATAGTTCCTTCGGTGACATGCTTGACCATGAAGTCGCAAAGTAGGAGGATCGTGACCCTTGGCAGAAGCTGTGTCAAACTTCATTCCAGGGGAAGTAAAAGAGAACATTGCATTGTAAGTTCTTATGTTGGAATGAAAATTCTTACTATGTGGAGATGTCCCATCGAAAAGAAGTTTATGCAATATAGGCGAAGGCTGCTTCATGAGTGGAAGCACGACTTTTGCACTTCTGCAACAAATATGAAACTTAGCAAGAGTGGTATGTTTATGTTTGCATTTACACTCTTGATATCATATAGACGTGTTGCAATGCTCGCATTTCCATCCCGGGTTTGCGATATCCGAATATTCTACGTGTACACAAACTTTGAGTTAAAATCACATTAATATTTTGTAAAAGTTTAATAAGTGAGAAAGAGAAATTAACTTGTAAGGTGATCCTCAACAATATCTTCCAAGGGTTCAACATCAGAATCAGAGGAATTTTCCAAATTATGATCATCATCAGAATCAGAGGAATTTTCCAAATTATGATCATCATCAGAATCAAAATTTCCATCCGATGAAGAATTATCCAGAGGCATTTGTTGGTAAAGGTCTGTTGTGGGTGCATTAGTAGCTGCAGTATGGGAGTGATTTATGACATTACGTTGACTGCACCGAAACATGGTTGTTGAGGAGGTACCAGTGGAGATGGACAATATATTGTGATTAAAGGTAGTTGCAACAAAGTTAGTTTGTCGGTAGCTTGCTTGTTGGGGCAAGGGATTTGCTTGGTTAGTTATGTTGGTAATTGTTGCCCCCCATGATATTGTGTATTGGTAGAAAATTGACTGATAGTGGCGGTTATAGTGGATGCAACAGAAGTGTGAGGTTGAGGTTGAGATACATTTTGCACGAGTCGATGACCGTTTTGTGAAAGTGTAGTTGAGTGTGGAGGAATTACAGTAGCTATAACAGGTAGTTTAATACTCGAATTAGAGGCGTTAAGGTTAACTGGTGACAAAATTTCACGGGAATTGAAAGTGGATAACAAATCAATCCCATAAATCATTTCAATTCGTATTTTTTTGTTAGGGCGGCACCATGTAATAAACGATTACTCGCACCGATAAGAGTAGTGTAATTCAAATTAGTCAATGGTGTTATATCATGTAAGCGGGAGAATATCGTCGCATGAATAACATGTGTGGATGGTGTAGCCATCACATTCTCCTTGTTTGAACTTGAACCGTGATGTCTCTTGTCCACCAACATCAACCTTATCCTCTTTCTTGCAATCGAAGCATGGGTGTCGTTGTTATCATTATTCTGTAATAGACACAGAGTTATATAGTCTGAATTTACAAAGTAAGAACATTAGTCAAGTTAGGGATTAAAAAGCTTTGAATGTCAACTTTTACTAATAGTTGTATCATACACTATGGTATAAAAACTATGGTATAGAAATTAATAGTTGTACATGGATATAAACTATGGTAGAAAAAATTGGATCAGACATGTTTGAAGTGAAAGTATCATACACTATAATTGCGATAAGGAGGAGAGCATAAATCTATACCTGGTAAACTAAAATTTTTGTATCCTTGGTGGAGAAGAAATGAAAAATAGTTTGAAATGCTTGGCGGGTAATTGTGTGGCAAAAATTGGCCATTCAAATAATATGATAATATTATACAGTTGTTCTAGTTGTTTAAAATTCTTATAATAATGAAAGAAATGCATGTATTGCAAGTTGCAACCAAGTACAATGATGAAACAATAACATTTAATGCAACAGATATAGCAGGAAGCAAAAGGAGATGTCAAGTGGGCTGACACGAAGGGATATGTTTCTGCGGGAATGGTACTCAATGTAATTATGCATATGTGAATTGTCTAGCGGTTTGTAAGTATGTGTTTTAACTTATATTATTTCAGGTTTTTCTCTTTCCTGTATTTTGTCTATGCATAACCTTTTATAGCACTTAATAGTATTAGTTTTATGTTTAAAACACATGCAGTTTTTTAAAATAGCATATTGCTGTAAAGTAGAAAATGTGATATGTGTTCAAAGTTTTTAGCACACAAATATTTTGTTACACTACATTCTATTTAGAGGGCTTAACTAATAATAGAAGTTCCATCCCTCCTTGATTTGGATAGTCTTAGGTGAGTGTTGGCTGTTAAAAAACAGAAAACATGCAAAATATATTTGTTACCGATTGCACACGATGTCAAAATTTTTTGAAAACTGGGAAATACTATGTAGCATGGATTCCAAAAGTAGATTGAAGAAAATGTTTGACAGATTAAATTAGATTAATACATAACCCACATTAACAATAAATAAGTTGCATCATTAAGCATCCAAAATAAAGCCCATAATGTTGATGTGAAGTTAATTCCAATTCGCAATGGTGTCTAAGGGATTACATAGTGGTCAAGCAGATACAATAAGTTTTAATATGTATTTGAGAATGACTTGTATTGTATCAAGGACCCAAAAAGATGGTACACGGGCATGGCAATAACTCAATCATACGGTGGATTTCTTTTCCCGTTTGGTAAGTTTCTTCATTGTAGTTGAAGATAAATCCCCTTTGACAATATGGTTCACATAATAATTGATAGGATGGTTAGGAGACATCCTCTTCACATTAGCTTTAGGGGTAGCAGGATCAGGAACATGGGGAGATGTAATTTCACCTTCGTGCAAAGTGTGGGAAATTACATAATGTCCAAGGTTGACAAAGTGTGTAGAATACAAAATATAATATTTGGGATAAAGAAGTACCGCAACGGAATTGAGTTGTTCACATTTAATGTTCTCGCCAACACTCTCCAAGATCTGTTACAAAGTGGTTAGTTGATTTCAAAGTTTGTGATGAATGAGTAAGGTGTCTTAAGAAAAAACTTATATGTGGAATGGATAAAAAGCATAACACAAGGAATGAAAATAAATCAAATGAACCTGTATGGAATTAGATGTATCTAGCTTGAGCAGGCTTTGCTGTCAAACCATACCAACATTAGTAATAAAGCTATTGATGGGAATCATAGAGAAGAACACAAAGAGTTTGAAAGATATAAGCGAACTTGCATTGTAACTGAGTTGTTTAGAATGATAAGGGAATTATGTCATGAGATTTAAACATTAGTAATATAGACAATGTTGAACATTACATATCGTTGAAATAAGCAAAGAAGACGATGTAACCTAATTTATTACTGGAAGTCCTTCAAGCATATCGATGAGCTGATTATCCTTAATAAACTGGATGATGGAAGAGCTTTTCCATCTCGGGTCCCACTTTACCTTGAACGCAAACTTTTTTTCTAATATTGCATCAAGGGCAAGTGGAAACTCAAGTGGTCTGTTATTCCAGCCTGATTTTCAATTAGTAATGAAGGTGGTAATAAGTTGGAGTTGGCACAACGTTAAGGTGGTCAAACAACTTTCACAACACTATACCCTAATGTATTACAACAAATCAATAGTCACTGATCAAGCGGCTTTCACAAACCTATATCATAGTTGCTCGCATTTGTGTGACAAAAAAATATTTTGAACAATTTCAATTATATTTTAAATTTAATTGATATATACTAACGGTGTAAAGCAGTTTTACACCGTTAATTAATCACAATCACTAAATCAACATTACACATACAATCAATTAAAATTATTACACTTGACAAATCATTTAAATATTAAAAAAAAATATATATATATACAATGACAATGTCATGTTAAATGTCAAATCATACTATTAAAACTATTTTACACTCTCACTCTCATTGCATTACTTTTAATCCAAATAAAAATATATTTTAATTAGATGCATCTCTTTCTCATTAATTCAGTGTAGTCCGTATTCCTTTTTCTGTTTCACTAAATACACCAAAGTCAAACTATTATTCTACTCATCTTTTCCTCGTCTCTTCGCAATTTCAATGAGGAAGTTACTCATCTTTGCATGTGGAACCCACCTTGCTCAATTAAGAATGTTGAAGTTATACTATTTCATTTTTACAAGCCGCTTCATCCTTTGAGACTTGTGAGAACAGTTCTTCTCGTGGATGTGCAATGAAGTTGTTAGAGAAGATGATGTCAATTACAGATCCAATTACAGGTAAAATTAATTAACTGCATACCTTACGAGGTTTGTTTTTCCCCTTTTGTTCATATGATTCATCATTATTTTTTTTTAGCCCTTCAGAGTAGATCAGACGAAGATAAGTCAAACAATTAGAGATAAGGTAGACTTAGAAAAACTATAAGAGAATTTATTAAGAAAGGTTTTGAGATTAAGGATTTGGATAGAAACATTATTCTGATAGAACATTACGACGGAAGTTAATTCAGGTACCGATCTCATTTAGTGGGATAAGACTTGTTGTTTGGTTGTTATAAGCTAGACTTCTATACAATTAAGATCTAAGGCTGCGTGTCGGCATCAGACACCTACACCGACATTTGTGATTTCATTTAACTTATTCAAATTATTATCGGTATCGTTGTATAAGTGTCTGAGTAGTGTTTGCCGTGTCCGTGCTTTTCATAATTTGTTTCTGAAAACATTCTATATACCAAACTGGAGAGAATAGTGATAGTTTAGAGATTAAATTGAATACTCTCTTATTGTATTATTATTTGATTTGCATTTTCATTTCATATACAACAGACTTGGTGCTCTCAAGTGTCAAGGCTTTGTTCCCGCCACCATTCCGAGCTGTGTTGGGTCGTTTTTCGTTTTTCAATGTGGGCCACAGAGGTACAGCTTCGTCCGGACCTCCCATTGATTCCGACCGCATCCATAGCTATAAATATGATGTGTTTATTAGTTTCAGTGGTGCTGACACCCGCAACACTTTTGTTGATCATCTTTATGCTCATTTAACTAGAAAGGGTATTTTTGTCTTCAAGGATGATATAAGGCTACAGAACGGAGAGTCCCTTTCGCCACAACTTATAGATGCAATTGCAAACTCACGAGTTTCTATTGTTGTCTTTTCTCCAAATTATGCCGAGTCAACATGGTGTTTGGAAGAAATGGCTACTATTGCTGAATGTCGTAAATATTTGAAACAAACTGTGTTCCCTGTTTTTTATGATATCAATCCATCTCATGTACGAAAACAGAATGGGGTGTACCAGAATGCCTTTGTTTTACACATGGAGAATTTTATAAATGATCGGAATAAGGTTGTGAGATGGAAGAGAGCTATGGTCGATTTAGCTGACATAGTTGGTTGGGATGTTAGGAACAAGTAAGTATTGATTCTATTGTTTGTTTGAGATGAATTTATGGTGTTTGGTTGAGTTTTCAGTGAGCTAGCATGTTTTTTCTTAGGCAATGATGTAGGTTTTTATTTCTCTTTCAGGCCAGAGTTTCGAGCAATTAAAGATATTGTTCAGGAAGTGATAAAAAAATTGGGTCATAAATTCTCAGGGTTTACTGATGACCTTATTGGGATACAACCTCGAGTAGAAGCATTACAAAGTCTTTTGAAATTAAGCTCAAAGGATGATGAATTCCGCGTTGTAGGTATTTGGGGGATGGCTGGAATCGGAAAGACAACTCTCGCTTCTGTCTTGTATGATAGAATCTCCTATCAGTTTGATGCATGTTGTTTTATTGAGAATGTAAGCAAAATTTATAAAGATGGTGGTGCTACTGCTGTACAGATACAAATCCTTCGGCAAACCATAGATGAAATAAATCTAGAGACATACAGCCCTTCTGAAATATCTGGAATTATAAGTAATCGACTATGCAGAAGAAAGATTCTTTTAGTTCTTGACAATGCTGATCTATTAGAGCAACTGGAAGATTTGGCTATAAATCCCGAGTTGCTTGGGACAGGAAGCAGAATGATCATTACAACTAGGGATATGCATATTCTAAGGGTGTTTACAGCACAGTTATCAGTCTCTCACGATACACGCCTGTCGTATGGTGTGTATGAGGTTCCACTGTTAAATAACAAAGATGCTTGCGAATTATTTTACAGAAAAGCTTTTAAAGGTAAGACTCCCACTAGCGAATGTGTGGAGCTGACTTCAGAGGTGCTAAACTATACTCAAGGTCTGCCAATAGCAGTTCGAGTTGTGGGTTCTTTCTTATGTACTCGAAATGCTAGCCAATGGAAAGATGCCTTGGATAGATTGAGGAGTAATCCAGACAAAAAAATTATGGATGTGCTTCTGGTAGGTTTTGAGGGATTACATTACGAGGAAAAAGAAATATTTCTGCATATTTCTTGTTTCTTTAAGAGAGAGAAGGAAGATTATGTGAAGCGAATTTTAGATGCTTGTGATTTGCACCCTGTCATTGGAATTCAAAGTTTAGTAGAGAGGTCATTCATAACTATTAGAAATCAGGAAATTCATATGCATGATATGTTGCAAGAATTGGGGAAGAAAATTGTTCGACAACAGTTTCCTGACGAACCAGGATCGCGGAGTAGATTGTGGCTTTATGAGGATTTCTACAATGTCATGATGACAGAAACGGTAACAAGATATCTTTCAAAATCCAAAACTTCTTTTCACAGTAAATAGTTTAAATTTTATCATCCAATAAAGATATATCGATACGGTTTTTATTCAAGGATTTTTTTACTTTTGGAACATATTAATCCTTAATTTTTTTCAGGGAACAAACAACGTTAAAGCCATAATTCTAGATCAAAAGGGGCATAATTCTGAATATCCTCTGTTGAGGGCTGAAGGATTATCAATAATGAGGGGACTTAAAATTCTTATATTACATCATAAGAAATTTTCAGGAAGTCTGGATTTTCTTTCTAACAGCTTGCAGTATCTTCTGTGGTACGGTTACCCTTTTGCTTCTTTGCCATTAAATTTTGAGCCGTTTCGACTTGTCGAATTGAATATGCCTTGTAGTCTCATCCAACGACTATGGGACGGTCACAAGGTATTGTAATGATGTCTTTTATTTTTCTCTCTTTAGTTAAAGAATGATTTAACATCTTGAGATATTGTAAATTACTTTATCAATAATAATGATGAGTTTTGAAGAATAAAGTAATGGAATTCAATCAAGAAAATCTTGGCGAGATATTTCATGAACAAATTTCAATTAGTAAACACAAAACTGCTGCATATACTTTTTATTTAAACAGGGCGCTCTTTTTACATTTCTGTAATGTATAGTAAACACAAACTACTGCATAGAAAATGCTAATTTCTCATGTTATTACAATTATTTGATTTCTATTTATTGAACTCATACTTACATATCATGTGAAAAATTAAGAATAAGTTCTGTATGAAAATTAAAGAAAGCGCACCAAAGTGAACTGATGATATTCAAGTTTGAATACAACATGCTAACACTTGGTTGCTCATTTTGTCTTCACAGGATCTCCCTTGTTTGAAAAGGGTGGATCTGAGCAACTCTAAATGTCTTGTGGAGACACCAAATTTTGCAGGAAGCCGGAGCCTTGAGCGGCTAGATCTTACAGGATGCATAAGCCTATCGTATGTCCATCCATCCATTGGACTTCTGGAAAAACTTGTTTTCTTGAGTTTGGAAGGTTGCAGCAGTCTGGCCAGGCTCGTTCTTGATGGTGACACTGCATTGTACTTACATTCTCTCAAAGTTTTGCACCTGTCTGGCTGCACAAAACTTGAAACCACGCCCGATTTTACCGAGATGTCAAATCTTGAGTATCTTGATATTGATCAAAGTGTGAGTTTATTGACGATTGATCAATCGATTGGGGATCTTACACATCTTAAGTTCTTGAGTTTAAGAGACTGCACGAATCTTGTCAGTATGCCCAAAAGCATTAGTTCTATAATACCATCTCTTGTGACTTTAGACTTATGTGGCTGCTTAAAATTAAAGAGTCTACCCTTGGAGAAAAACATATCACTGCCTGGAGAAATTATTGACCACTTTGATGAGGTTATGGTATCTTTGATTTTTTTGGACCTAAGCTTTTGCAGTCTTAGTACAGTCCCTGATGCTATTGCAGAGTTAAGGCATTTAGAAAGGCTAAACCTTGAAGGAAATAACTTCAAATCACTACCATCTTCAATGGGGAGGCTTTCCAGACTAGCACATTTAAATTTGGCGCATTGCAGCATGCTTCAATCTTTGCCTGAGCTCGAATTGTGTGCTACTTCTTCATCTGGGGGAAACTATTTTAAATTGTTGTCTGGATCTCATAATCATAGGTCGGGATTATATATTTTCAATTCTCCCCTCTTGGAGAACCCGGAAGGAAGTGTTAACTTGGCACTTTCGTGGCTGATAAAATTAGTTGAGGTACGCATACACACTGTTAACAATAGACATTCACATTGATTGATATAAGGAGATTAGTGTTTTAATGAAATGCATAATAGTTATGAAAATAATGATTAGAGATAGAAGTTACAGTAAAGCGTAAGAGGACTTGACTACTAACTTAGAAATATAAAATTTTAACAGAATAAGATTATCTAACATAACCTCTGAAATCTGTGATGTATTAATAGGGAGTATCAAGATCCTGTCAATGATAACAAAGTACTCAATCATAAAACATATTTTCTAGTATTTGAACACTTTCCTCAAACTAAAGCTCAAATCATACCACTAATATTATAACCAATAGAGATGAACAACTAAAGAAGAAATCATATCTATAAGAAATATATTTTGTATTTCACATGTTTGTAAAACAACACCTAGGAGGTATTTATAGGATACCAGTGAAAGTAAGCTGAGCACTAATCAACCGATAATCAAGGGTATTTATAGGAGGCATTTCCTTCTTTTCCCCTTCACATTGCTTCTCTCCCTGTTCTCTTTATTTCTAGTTCTGATATTTGTGTGTTGATTTTCTTCTCTGGTACTAGAAACCTTGTCACTTCCGATGTGGTCTAGACATTGTTGTTCCTGGATACCCATTTCCGCGGTGGTTTTCTCATCAATTTAAGGGAATTTCAACAGTTAGGATAGCAGGCTATGCGGATGTGTTTGACAATTGGATTGGCTTTGCTTTTGGTGTGGCATTTGTGGAAAATTGTCGCCCAGCAACATCTGGTTCTTCTCATTGTTCATTATCGTCACAGCTTCCATATCCTCTTTATCTCTCTTTTGAAAGTGAACAAACGGAAGAAACCTTTGATATGCCGCTTCGGTTAGACCTGAACAAGGTTGATGGCTCAAATACAGAACACATCTGGCTAATCTATATCTCTAGGCCACACTGCCATTTTGTAACAACAGGAGCACGTATCACTTTTAAAGCTCACCCAGACGTGGAGTTGAAAACATGGGGATTACGCATGGTATTCAAGCACGATATCTCTAATTCATTCGAGTTGGGGACAAATGAGATTCATCAACAAGGAGGTTATCTTCACTTGGATTATGTATATGAAAGTAGCAGCAGAAGGAGTCCTGAAGTCCAGCTTCCTTATAACTGGAATGTTACCAAGGAAGAGCGTGTTACCGAGGAAGAGTCTAAAATGCAGCTTCGCTATAACTGGCATGTTACCGAGGAAGATGAAAACGAGAATAGGGAAGTGAATGTGAAACAAAATCATCTCTTGAATATGGGCCTTTAACACGTACTAGCTGATGACTATAGTGATTTGTATTAAAAAGCCTCTTCAATAATTTATTTTGTTTATTTCTGCCACTTTCTATATGCATAAAAGTATTATTACTGGTGTGATTACGCTCAATTTATTTATTTTTTAAAATTACTATCGGTGTCGACTTGTCATTATAGGTGTCGTGTTAGGTGTATGTAGTTCATAGATTTTATTGAATTAGGAGAGACTAAGAGACATTTAGGTTAAACCGTGTGTTATGAAAGCACTACGGAGACTTTATTATATATAGAGAGATTACAACTAATTACACTATATAATCGATGTGAGACTACTCTACATACAAATATTCTTAACATTATATATTTACGAATATCAACACTCCCCCTCAAGCTGGAGCATATAAGTCAAATGCACCAAGCTTGTCACATATATAATTAGTTCTAGGGCTTCGCAGAGATTTTGTAAACACATATGCTAATTGATCATTAGAGTTGACAAAGCTTGTGACGATGTCACCAGATTCGATCTTCTCTCTGACAAAGTGACAATCTATCTCAATATGTTTGGTCCTCTCATGGAAGACTGAATTTGAAGCAATATGCAATGCAGCTTGATTATCACATACAAGTGTCATTGGTCTTGCTTCTTCAATTTTAAGTTCTTTGAGCAACTGTTTTAACCAAATGAGTTCACATGTTGCAATTGCCATGACCCTATACTCTGCCTCGACGCTTGATCTTGCAACTACATTTTGTTTCTTACTTTTCCAGGATATAAGATTTCCTCCAACAAGTACACGATACCCAGAGGTGGATCGTCTATCAATTGGTGACCCTGCCCAATCAGCATCAGAGTATCCAATTATCTGAGTATGTCCTTTATCTTCATACACTAAACCTTTTCCTGGAGCACATTTGATGTATCTTAGAATCCGGGTAACAGCATCCATGTGTTCCTGACAAGGGGAATTTAAGAACTGACTTACCACACTGACTGCAAAAGAAATGTCTAGACGAGTGACTGTGAGATAATTCAACTTTCCAACCAATCTCCTATACCTTCCCGAGTCTGATAGAGGCTCCCCCTGATTGGGTAGTAGTTTGAAACTTGGATCCATAGGAGTATCAACTGGTTTAGCGTTCAACAAACTTGTTTCTTCCAAAATATCCATAACATATTTTCGCTGAGAAATCACCAAACCATCTTTAGATTGGGCTACCTCAATACCCAAGAAATACCGGAGTTTACCAAGATCCTTTGTCTGAAATTGATTTGAAAGATGTTATTTCAACTGGAGTATTCCCGACTCATCACTACCAATTATGACAATATCATCTACATACACAATAAGATAAATACACCCTTGTACTGAGTGACGATAAAAGACAGAATGGTCAGCTTCACTACGGACCATACCAAATTGTTGTATTACAGTGCTGAATCTGCCAAACCAAGCTCTCGGAGATTGCTTAAGACCATAAATAGACCTGTGTAGCATACAAACCATATTCGATGACTCCCCCTGAGCAACAAACCCAGGTGGTTGCTCCATATATACTTCCTCTTCAAGATCACCATGTAAAAATGCATTTTTGATGTCAAGTTGATGAAGAGGCCAATGTCGAATGGCTGCAATGGCTAGAAGAAGTCTAACAAATGACATCTTGGCTACAGGCGAGAAGGTATCACTATAATCCAATCCAAAAATCTGAGTGTATCCTTTGGCTACCAAACGAGCTTTAAAACAATCAATCTTACCATCTGGACCAACCTTCACTATATAAAGCCAACGACAACCTACTAAAGATTTTCCAGTGGGTAGAGGAACCAGTTCCCAGGTACCACTGCTTTGAAGAGCACACATTTCATCAATCATTGCTTGCCTCCACTCAGGGTGAGATAATGCTTCACCTGGATATTTAGGAATAGAAACAGAAGACAAAAAGGACAAACAAGTATACTGCAAAGGGGAAAGACGATGATAACATAAATCAATATAATATGGAGAAGGATTTCGTGTTTGACCTATACCTCTGCGAAGGGAAATCAGAAGATCAGACTCAGGTTGCAGGATCGAATCCGGTGATGGAGATAGCGTCGGAGGAGAGTCTGCAATGACCTCAGGGACAGGTACGACCTCAGGGACATGTACAACCTCAGGGACATGTATGACAAACGTTGGTTTACGACGCTGATATGTTTGAAGTGGGCGAGAAGTGGGGGGTCAACTGTAGGGGTTTCTCATGGGACATGTTCCCTAGAATGATGGGGAATAATGGGAAATGGGACGTCCAAAAGAGGTGTGAGAGTACTTTCCTGAAGGGGTTCCGGAGTGACTTGGGTGGGCAAAATATGGCACAGACTCGAAGAAGGTAACATCGGCCGATATCAGGTATCGTTGCAGAGTGTGTGAGTAGCAACAATAACCCTTTTGGGATCGATGATAACCAAGAAAGACACTTTAGTGATCGAGCTGATAGTTTATCAAGACCAGGGGAGAGATTATGCACAAAACATGTAGATCCGAAGACTCGAGGAGGAATTGGATGAAGAGGAGAGTTTGGAAACAAGATTGAACGAGGGATTTTATTATTAAGGACAGATGAGGGCATGCGATTTATGAGATAACACGCCGCGAGCACAACATCCCCCAAAAATCTGAGAGGGACATTACCATGGAGAAGTAGAGTCCGAGTGGTTTCTACGAGATGCCGGTTTTTGCGTTCGGTTATCCCGTTTTGTTGAGGTGTATGAGGACAAGATGTTTGGTGTAGAATACCATTGGATGACATAAAAGTTTGAAATTGTTGGGATAAATATTCACGTGCATTGTCACTTTTTAAGGTACGAATGGACAAACCAAATTGGGTTCTTATTTCTCGATAAAATTGTTCAAAAATAGAAAATAATTTAGATATGTTTTTCATTAAAAATAGCCACGTGCAACGTAAAAAATCATCAATAAATGTTACAAATACCTAGACTCAAAAGTAGACACAGTACGCGATGGACCCCAAACATCGGAGTGAACTAAAGCAAAAGGAGACGTAGCCCGTTTATTGACTCGATCAGGAAAGTGACTACGAGTATGTTTCCCTAATTGACAAGACTCACACTGTAAAGTGGATAATTTAGATAAATTGGGTACCAACTTTTGTAGCTTGGGAAGACTTCGATGACCTAACTGCGCATGTATAATGAGTGGAGAATCTGTGGTGGAGCATGTGGTAGATGATGTAGAGAAATAGTAGAGGCCTTGAGACTCACATCCGACGCCAATCGTCTGTCCCGAACTTCGATCCTGCAGAATAACATCACTTAGTAAAAGTGATAGAACAATTAAGGGAACGAGTTAAACGACTGACTGACAGTAAATTAAATGGGCAATTAGGTACATATGGGACAGAAGTAACAAAGAGAAATGGTAGAATTTGAACAGTACCGATCCCTTGGGATCGGGTTTGAGAACCATTTGCGGCAGTTATACTCGGTAAGAAACCAGAGGTAGAAAGGGAAGAGAAAAGATTTTTATTATCGATAACATGATCAGACGCACCAGAGTCGAGGACCCAAGGACCAAGAGGAGATGATTGAGAGACACAAACAGATGAATTACCAGTGTGTGCAATTGAAGCCGTGGAACCAGAGGTTTGGTTAGTCTGACACCACTTGAGAAAATCCTCGTAACTTGGCGTAGGGTTCTGAAGAGAAGGTGGAGTCTGCATAGTGTACGATTTTCCGAGAGTACGACTTTCTGTGAGTCGAAAACGAAAACCGAGGACGGATCTGGAACCGGAGGAGGAAGGCGATTTCCCAAGAGAGAGAAAAAAATGTTTTTTTCTTGAACAGTAGCGGCGACGGTGAACAGTGTGGCAGCGGTGAACAGTAGTCCTCCAAAAATTTTTTTTTTCCTTCGTGGACTATGCTTGACGGAGGTCGCTGGAAAAAAAAGGTGAGACAAACCGGAATGATGATACGGTTTGCAGAAGAAAATTTCTCACTGGAAGACAGTGGATCAACCGGGTAAAGCACGACGAAGAATTGCCTCTTAGAAGGCTCTAGATACCATATTGAATTAGGAGAGACTAAGAGACATATAGGTTAAACCGTGTGTTATGAAAGCACTACGGAGACTTTATTATATATAGAGAGATTACAACTAATTACACTATATAATCGATGTGAGACTATTCTACATATAAATATTCTTAACATTATATATTTACGAATATCAACAGATTTCAACTAATGCACAACGGCCAACCCATAAGATGCAGGAAAGAAAGATGGCAAGACTTTGTTCATAATTCACCAATGTTGTCAGGCGCACAAAATCCTGGGAAAATACTCTTTATGCTAATGAGAAGGAGGCATATTCTTTGATAGATCCCATGCAGGTGCTGATAAATTAAAGAAAGTGAGTTTTGCTTTGAGTCTCTTATTGTCCAGTAATTTTATATAAATAATTGGTAAAACTATATCATTATTAGAAATTAAAAATAAGAGACTCTAATCTCTCGGATATTTTGTTATATTACAAGTAGTGCAACAAATATTTCAGTGCGATTAATTATTAAAAAAAATAACATTTTATTTATTTTATTATTAGATGCTTTATTTAATTTTGATTAGAAAATAGATCAATAATTATTTGAGTTAGTCTAATTTGATAAATTTTATTTTAATTGACATTGGATTATTAGGTAGAGAATAATATTCTTACAATGTGAGAATAAAGTTTTTTTACATAATCAACCAATAGAAAATAACAATTTGTCATATCATTAAAAAAAATTTAAAATAAAAATGAGTTATAATTGAATACATGATTGGTTGACACTATAAAACTATTTTATTTTCTAAGTGCATTACTTCTTTTTTCTATTAGTTAATATATTTATTTATGAAAATGGACTAACATTTAATTAGGAGGAGGTTTGCTTAAACATTTTGGGCTTAAGAGTTGGAAGTCCATTTTCCTCAAACTCACACATACAAATTAGAGAATG